GTTTTAAATGTTTTAGTCTGAGCTTTTAAGTTTTTCAACAGAATAAAAACACCATAAATTGTTGTTAAAAAAAGATTTTTATTGATGTTTTCAACAATGGATTATACAATGACAGCAACAAAGAGATGACTGCAGTTCTGACGTCTGAATTAAATACAAAAACCGGGTTATCTGATCCCGTCGCCGAACAGGTGAGAGACGGGCTCACCTGACAGGTGATGCAGGGAAAACTGCAGTTTTATTAAAACAAATTATTTACACCAACATAAAAACAGCCACAGACATGCCATGCTCTTCAAGCCACAACGACGGAGGAGAGCCGGGCGGGTCGGAACCGGAACCAGCGCCAGCTGCTGAACAGATGAGCTTATGAGGACTAGAAGTATCTACAGCCTGATGCGACCTAAACCCACCTGCAGAGGGCGCTGTGAGGAGGAGGTTAGATATTTACAGCCGGATGACGGGTTAGAGACAGGTCAGCGTTATAATACAGACGGCCTGAAGCAGCTGCAGGGTTTCTGGATGTGTTGCTTTAATGTTTTCATCACACAGGCACAGTGGGCGGAGTCAGGCTGCGTGTGAGGATGAGGAGGCCGCGGCCTTCCTCCTGTCCGTGCATTGGGAGCGGGGAGACGGGGGAGAGGGAGCGGTCGAAACGCCTCACTGCCGCTTGCTCTTGATCCGCTCCAGACGCTTCTTCAGGTCGTCCAGGTTGGCGGTGGCGGGCGAGGCGGCGCGGGCGCGGGTCGGCGATCCGGAGCGCGCGTTGTGCTCCTGCTGGTACAGCTCCCGGGACTCCTTCAGCTGCGACAGCTTGCTGTGGAGCATGTCGGTGGACGAGGCCACGGACGGCTTGGAGGACAGCAGGGAGGAGATGGCTGGCCGCTGCGGAGGCTCGTCCTCGCTGCTGAGAGCCTGCGCCGTCAGAGGGGAGCGGTTACCATGGCGACCGAGCAATTTCACAATTAGATAAATAAAAAATTGACATTTACAAGTTTTTTTCTAAAAAGTTTCCACTTTTTCCAAACTCAAATAAAATCTTATAAAAATTTTAATAAATGGGTAATTTCCCCAGCAGCATCATGGAACCGGAACCAGGCGGCGGATGTTTGGACTCACCCTGGTCGTGTTTTCCAGGCCTTGTCTCTGCCGGAGGATCTTCAGCCTCTCGTAGTAAACGGCGGGTTTCAGCTCTTCGTTGCTGCTGCTGAGGCTGGACTCCACGTTGTGCTGAGGAATCACTGCAAACGCACACAGCGACGTTAACACACACACACACACAAACCCACCAGGCTGGCAGACGTAAAAAACCCAGAAGAACCTGAGGAGCTCTGGATCCGAGGTTTTCCCTCACGCTCCGACTCGATGACCCGCAGGCCTCGCTCCACGTAGCTCTGGAAGAACTGCGACGTGTTTCTGAGGAACGGCTCCAGGTCGGCGTCAGAGTACTTCTGCTTGTACTCGTAGAGCTCGGTCAGGCCCTGGGGGGGAAACGGTTTCCTCAGATTAACAACCAATCAACTCTGGAGTCAAAGGTCAACGAGGCGGCACCAGAGCAGAACCGGACCTCTTTAGTGTTCTCCTTGGAGCCGATCTTCTTGAAGATCTCGGACAGGATGTCGCTGACCTTCGCCTTGGACATGCGGTCGTCCTGCAGCACAGCAGACATCAAATTATTCAGCACATTTTAACCTCTGCAGGGTGAAACATCCAGAATCAGAATCTAAAAGCCCAATTATCTCCAGAACCCAAGTTATGGACCAGTCAAAGCCTGGGTCTGATGGATCTGAAACCCCACAGTCAAACTGTTTTCTTAATTAAACAAACACCAGCTGCGGATAATCATCTTTGCACCATGTCTGAACTGATGATGTCATCCAGGAAATGCTAGTGAGGAATATTTAATTCCCCTTTGGAATCAAAGTATTTCTGAATCGAATATCGTCTCTGCTGCCTGGAAACAGACAGTCATACAGAAATAGTCTTCAGTCAGAGGCCTATTCAGTTAAGCTGCAACTCTGACTGTTACTGGAGATTCTTCCTGCATCACCGACGGCTCTGAAGAGCTGAGTAACGACATCATTTCTTTCTGAATTGAAGAAACTTTGATGCTGGTTTCAGTTTGGATCCACGTCTCACATCTGGTTCCTTCCACTTTTTAAGATCAGGAAAATCGTCTCACTGTGAAAACATCAAATCTTACCAAGTATTTTGGTCTGGTGTCTAGACTAAATATCTTATTACACTTAAAATAACAAAACTAACTTCCAATGAACTTTTCAGCAAGAAACAGCTTGTTTCAAGTCAATAATTCTTAAATATTGATAAGTGCAGATTTTTTTCACCTATAAAATTTTAGAAATGTGTTAAAGACTTTTAAAATCAATATTCAGAAATTAGTTAAAATAAACTCCCATGTCTCAAGTATTGATATATTAATTATTAAGTATTCTCTTTAAACTTGATATCAGAGCATGACTTCACAAAATGTTCAACGTTCCTCATTTAAAGTTATTTTTCATGTTGATTTCTTATAAAAATACTACTATATTCTCCTAATATTTCTTTTATTATTACTATTGTCGTACAATTTACTCTCGTAATTAAAATGAATCGTAACATGGCCCTGATGTTTCATCGTAGTAACTTAAAGTCCAAATAAATAAAAGCTGTAAAACAAGATGGCGGCTCTGGGCGCACCGACATCACTGAACTATGGAAACCCAAGGAATGCAATAAGCGAAATCCAAAAATTTAATCTTCAAAAACCAAAAATCGATTTATCGGCCAGCTCCGTCACTAGGTCTTTATTTTACATTTCCTGCTAAATTCTTCATATTTCACAACTTTAGTGAATCTTTTCTAAATCTGTGGGTCCAGAAGAACTTTTAGAAATAAGGAAAACAGGAAGTAGAATCTGAGGACCAGAGGAACGGATCAGGCCTTCAGCTCCAACCGCCTCTGAAGTTTGTCGCTCACCGTCCCGTGGGCGCTCTTCTCGTTGCCGCGGTCACTCTTCGTTCCCGACAGGTTCCCCGAGTGTTTGACGACTCGCCTCAGGTAGGCCTCCAACTCCGACTCGTTCCGGTTTTCTATCATGGACAGGTGGTCCAGAATCTGCCCAGAAACGAGAATGATCAGAACGAAACCGGCAGGAATAACACGTCTCCCCCCGGGTCCGTGACCTCTGGCTACCTTGACCCCGGTGAGCCTGCAGAGCGTGTGGCAGAGGGTCTTCAGGGTCCGGTGAGGAACGTCTGTCTTCAGCTGCTTCAGCTTCTCTTTCGGGAAAACCTTCATGAAGTTGTGGACGTCCAGCAGGATCCGGTCCAGGTTCAGGCTGTTGATATTCTCTGGCAGCAAGCGGATCATCCTCCACAGACACTGAGGAGGATAAACGGTTAGAGCGGAGCAGAGCCGACCGATTGAGCCGGGTCTGCAGCGGAACCGGCGCTCACCTTCATCACCAGTTCAGAGACTTTAAGAGACCCGGCGTTGGAGACCAGCGTGTCCTGAAGCAGAACCAGCAGAGCGCTGCGGGAACGGGAGAAACGGGTCAAACTGGAGGTTTGCAACTCGCTGTGATGAGTTTGGACCTTTAGTGGCTCTAAACTTCAGCTAAACCCAACTGCAGTCGAGCCCCGGAGTCTCAAAAAGCTAAAACATGCAAACACTTCAGATTCCACTAAAAACGTTTATAACTCCCCATTTCAACAGTCCAAACACAAACTACATCTTAAAGGTGATCCATCATGCTGCCCTGAGCAGGTTAGGAAAGGTCTACACAAAACATTTTCATTACATTTTTGCACAAAATCACTTGGATAATGAGAGTTAAGCTATTTTATAGTTCTCACTTTGAAATCACTCCCCCACTCAGTTTACACTCGGATGTGAATTATAAAACCGTACATCTTTGAAAAGCAGAAGTGGAGCCTCCTGAACAACAAACAAGAAAGTGGTCTCTGGATGGTAAGTCAACAATAAAGCACTAGTCTTTTCCAGCAGCCATTGTACAGTTTGGTTGCTAGGTAACGTTGCAGCGCCTACTGGTTGTCACATTTAGGAGGTTATTGAAATGGTTCATTTTCCAGACACCAAAAAACATGATTTCCAAAAACAGCTGGGTGGTTTTTAGAAGCAGCACACACACACACACACTCTCAGAGATAAAGGCTGCAGAGTTCTGACCCAGTCAGAGAGACGGATCCGTTTCTACCCACCTGAATATGTTGGTCTGGTCCGAGTGCTCCAGAACTCGGATCACCAGCAGGTTGACGGAGCGGATGACCTGCGTCCCGTCCTCCACGTCCTCCACTCGGATGTCCAGCATCAGCGTGATCAGGCTGTGCATCAGGTCCTTCAGAACACCAATCGACGCCTCGCGGGCCAGCGTCTCCATGGAGAACAGCTGAGGGGAGGAGAACGGGGTTAGAGGCCGCCTGCGGGTCACCGAGCAGCAGGGCGTCGCTCCGAGCGCTCACTCACAGACATCATGTTTCCCATGATGCAGCTGTACAGCTTGATGAGGTCCGTCTTGTCCACGCGGTCGTCTGCGAGGTGCGTGCTGTTGATGAGGCGCAGCTGCATGATGGTGGCGATGAGCAGCTGGTCGATGTGACCCGACATGACGTCGGCCTTGTCCTCCTGACGCAGAACCTCGTCAATCTGAGAGAAGGTCATGAGGAAGGTCAAACTTTGGGCCATATTGATAAATGTCCTCAAAGGCAGAAGAATGCATTTTAAAAACTGATGAATAAACTTAAGATATGACTAAATAGCCGTCTCTGCATTCGGTGAATACTGCTCAGGACTAAATTTTTTAATAATATTCATCATCTTTAATTTTTTGCACACAATCGTTTTTGGATAATGAGGTTTCAGTCTGATCTGTTCTGACTATTTTCAGAACGAGTCGAGACGTTTTCAGAATAATTTTTCCAGAAGTATAAATTATTTTTATGGGCTCCAACTGATTATTTTAGTCATAGATTATTCTGATACTAAATCAGGTGAATAAATTGGCAGATTCTCAGATTTTACATGCAACCATGTAAAAAGTGATGTAGAGCGGTTAGTGGAGGTGGACCGGACCTGAGCCAGCGCCTGGATGCTGGTGCCGATGTCGCCGCTCGCCACCTGAGAGATGACGAAGTTGATGGTGGAGGCCGTGCTGCTGTGAAGGTCGTCAAAGTGAGGAGAGATGGAGCGGATCCTTGGAAGGAAACACAGGAACGTTAAGGCCGTTTCTGGTTGAGTCGGACCGGTTCCGTTTGGGGACGGCGGTGCATTTACTTGGGCTCCGGGATCATGACGGGCTCCAGCAGCTCGTCCAGCTGGTGCTGGACCAGGTCCGGCAGCTCACACACGCTCCGCTGGTCCTGCTCTATCATGTCCAGGTCCAGCTGGAACTCCTTGGGGATGGAGGGATGGTCGCTGTGCGCGTTCTGCCGGGACTGACTGGACGGGCAGCAGAGGAACCAGTCAGTTCTACTGGGTAGAGATCAGTGCTTCTAGCTCCAGTCTGGACTTCCATACTGAATCACCTCAGACGTTTACGGATCTGAACCGAGTCGGGCGATATTTGACATACATGACCCAAACCGTGTGCAAATATGAACTTCCTAAAATAAATTTGTTTTATGGAAACGTGACAATTTATAAAGACATTTTCTGAGCCAGGACGAAGTGGTTTTGTTCAGCCGCATAAAAACTAACATTAAAAACACTTTTTTCACTTCACATGAGTGAAAGTGATCAACAACCAGACGCTACTACTGGCAGGAGGATGATGGCGCCACGTTTTAATGACTTGGAGGGTAAAGACACTTATAAACGCTGCGATTGCTAAAGTGTTTTTTGACATTAATGGAAAATCGACAAATTTGTAATGACAGCCACAACAACAGCGAAGCTGTAAGGGCATCGAAGCAGGTCTCTCTTCCTAAAACTTTAAATTTCTTTTTCTGGAAATTTTGGCCACTTCAGGTTTGAGTGGAAACCGTGAATTTTACACATCGTAAAAGTCACATTTCATGGTGAATTTAGTTGGAAAGGTCGTTGTTGATGCTGAGGTTGGGTCGGTCCGTCTGAACTGGAGCTTCACAGCACTGACCTCACAAAACAACATGGCCGAACCGATCGCAGGCGTTCATGAGCTACAGAGACCACAGAGGGAACATGGACACAAGCAGCTGCGAAGCGTTTCCTAGATTAAGGACAATCCGTCATAAAAATCTAAACTCAAATCTATTCAACATGATTCTGTCTTTTATTTGACAAAGTGACGTTGGTCTGCAGCACCACGGATCATCATGAGCACCGTTAGCTTGAGACGAACCTTTTAGCTCATCTAAACACAGGAAGTGAAGGATAACAGATGAACAGAATCAGAGGCCGAAGGAGGCGAAACGGGACGTCAACGACGTCGTTTCGCCCAAAGTTATAGGACAAAAACCCAAACAAACTTTAGATGAAATTAAATAACTTCAGGAGTTTCCAGTTTTTATCTCAACTTTTAGAAAATAAAGAGTAATTGATCTGCCAAGTCAGTAGTTGTTACATGCTGGTCTTTAACATCCGAGTCTGATCAGGAGCAGCTCAGAAACTTTATGACTAAAGATCAAAAAATAATTTAGACTTTTATCTTTTCCTCTTCAGAAATAAATTTAAACAAGCAATATTAGAGCCACAAATGATCCTAAAACTTATGAAAGCATCAGCTTCAGGTTTTCATTTTGCTTCTAAACTTTTTAAAGTCAGGCAGCCGGTGAGTTAAACTCCTCCCAACATCCAGGCCGAGGAACACGGCTCAGCGTTTCAACATGGAGTAAACACTATGGCTGCGAAGGAACTAAACCAATATTTCCTTCACATCTTCATCTAATTTGATGAGAAACGCTGTAAAAATGTTTGCAAACATCCTGCAGAATCTGGATCAGATGATCCATTAGCAAGAATGACCATTCTTTTCCACTTTTGCTGCTGGGAATAATGTTCACAACTCAGCGGCTGACTGGACGCCACGCAGCCGGCCTGATCCGATTCTCAGGTTCTCTCAAACATAAACAGGCGAGTGAGGAAGAGGAGGGATGAGCGAGTTAGTGCAATGCTTCACCAGAACTCAGCAGGTTTTTGGTTGTTGGGCTGATTTATGACGAGCATTAGGGTGAATTTGCAGTGACGACACAGAAAGCAGGAGGAGGAGTTGTACTCACATCCTATACGTGCGATACATTATTCTGCTCCGGAAAGGAAGGCAGGCAGAGCAGGTCACACAGGAAGAAAGATGAAGGGTTAGGAGACAGAAACGACCAGAGGCAGGTTGGTTTCACAGACTCACTGATCTGATGTGCGACTGTGAGAGCAACCCAGCATGCAGCGGCTCAGAGGCCAGGATGAGCAGGAGGACAGATCAGATGTTGGCAAACATTTAAATACAGACAGGTAAAAGAGGAACGGCCAGCATGCTGGTGAGAAAACGGCCGGAAAGGTCAGAAAGTCTCACACACAAACATTTAAACAGACGTCAGAGAGAAACGCATGGATACACTTTAAATGAAGGATGTAACAAGAAAGTCGGGCTCTTTATCACTTGGTTCTAACAATCATCTATTAAATACTTTAATTTCCAGTTTTAGTTTGTAAAGACTAGAGATCACAAAATAGAAAAAATATACAGCTTTGGGAAAAAAGGAGAGAACATTGAAAAGCTCCTGGTTATTCCACCAAATACTGATGTCTGAACTCTTCCTGAGTTAAAACGATAGTGTTGTTGTTTCTAAATGAATATGAACTCGATTTTCTTTGCGTTATTCAAGGTCTGAAAGTTCTGCATCTTTTTCATTATTTTGATGATTTCTCATTTTCTGCAAATACAAAATTTATGCTTGGAATTTCAGAGACATGTCAGAAGTTCATAGAATAAAAATATGTTAATTTTATTCAAACAAACCTATAAAAAGTGAAACTGATCATTTTAAATGGTCTCTTAATTTTTTCCAGAGCTGAATAATGTCAATAATTCACCTCCAAGATAAAATATGCAAACTTTAATTAAAAACACCGAAACTGGATTTAAATGATAAAAGCAGAGACTTGGACATTTTATGTAAAACTGGGTTTGTTTCTTTATCAAATGTAAATAAAATGTTTTAGTTCCTTAGTTTCCTCCGACACTTGGCAACCCTTTACCAGGTGAATAAGTTCCCAAATTACCAATAGAGTGAATTATGAGAAACTTAACCTGTAGATGCTAACTGCTCTGCAAAAACAAACCTGCAGGGGGCGACAGTGGACAGATTGATCTATATAGACTTTTCTTTGCCTTGTTTTCCCCAGACGGAGTCCATATTGGGTACCTTCAATAATAATTTAAACACTGTTGTGATATGAATGTATGATAAATATAAATAAAACTGCTGTGGTCCATATAGTTACTCAGTTTCTACTGGTTAAAGGAAGAAATCTGATAAATATTGATCATTTTGTGGTCAGTTAGTTTGTGCAGATTCATCCAAGTGTGACAGTTTGTAAAGCATCTTTATATTTCCGTTCATAACTGGAGCATGTTTTACTGGTTTCCAGTAAAAACGGGGACCTACTTGAGCTTTCCAGGGTCTTCCTGTGCTGGCTTGCGGAGGAAGGTGGCGTTGGGGTTCGTCGGCTGCTCCCGCTGCGTCTTCTCGGCGGCGCTCTGCTTCGCCGGAGCCGCAGGCGTCTTCTTCGCCGATCGTTTGATCCGCTCCTCCAGCATGCTCATGTCTTTCTCTGACAGCTGGAAAAAAATCCAAATAAAATCAGTCTCTGATTTTGTGGAGGGAACTTCCAGCTCCAAACTTTGTTTCCTTTTGTCTCTTACATTTCCGATGAGTTTGTAGACCTGGTCCCCGCAGACGTTGTAGACGGCCACCACCGTGTTCAGGGCAGCGTTTCGGACGGACGTGTCTCTGTCTCCGATGTGGACGGCGATCTCCTTCAGGGATTTGGCCGGAGTCGGCTGGCACACGTTCATCCCATAGCCCTCGATCAGACAGCCCAGCTCCTCCAAACACTCTGAGGAAACCAAAACACTCAGCATGAAGGAGCAAACAGAACTAAAGGTTGGCTGACCTGGGCTCCACGTTTACGTCAAGGCGACATGTACAGGTTTAATTTTTGGAAAAGCTCTACTTGGACTGCCCTACCAGCTCTCTGCTTGGAGTTCTTGGACTTGGTTCCCTCCATGAGGAACGGGAAGAGCTTGGAAGCTGGATAAACTTTGCACAGCATGCCGAGGATGACCCGGACATCTTTACGAACCACATCCTTCGACTCTCCGACCTGAAGGGAAACAATGAGCATCTCACTCTGAACGACAAGCTGAGCCGTTCACAGCAACATGAGCACAAAAACTAAAAACAAGCAGGAATATAATCAGAATATGAGACGGGCTGGCGACCCGTCCAGGGTGTACCCCCGAAATGTCTGGTTGAGGATGGGCACCAGAACCTGTCCCGGCCCCATTAGGGTCAGGAGGAGTGGAAAACTCAAATCACAAAGGACTGTGGACCGCAACAACTGTCTGCTAACATATTCCAGGTGTTATGAACTTTAAATCTTCATGCTAATATTTACCCTGTTCATTAAGCCCCTGACTGACAGTGTGTGTGTGTGTGTGTGTGTACCTTCAGTATGAGGTAGGGGACGAAGGAGTTGGCTTCATACTCCGTCAGGTGGTAGTTCTCCCTGTTCAGCATCGTGAACAGCAGCTTCAGATACTCCAGCACCTTCATCAGGATGGTGGTGTTGGTTTCAAAGAAGCGGAGCGTGATCCACTTCAGGATCAGGTCCAGGCAGCCGACGGTCGCTTCACTCTCGCTGTTCAGCCTCTGTCAGCCAGAGAGACGGTCCATCGGTTAGGAACAGAACCCAGTTCATGGCAGCCACGGCGCCGGCAGCCTCCTACCTCGATCATGACCCCGATGGCCTTCACTTGTCGCTGAAAGTCGAAGTGAAACATCTCGTCCAGCAGCCACTTGGCGAAGCAGGCGGCCATCTGAGTTTTCAGCTGCTCCACGTATTCGTCCCGAGGGGTGATGAAGTTCCACTTCAGAATCTGGAGCCCAGAGGTTCAGCGTCAGATCGTCAGATTTCAGCTGGCAGGGCTAGCCTGAGGCTCAAGCTAGCATTGCTAACACGCGGCAAGTTACCCAGAATTCCCAAGTCTGGACTAAAGACTACACGTGCTACCCTAAACTTTCTGGTTCAGAAAGTTCACAGATTTTGGAGGCAACTAGTTACTTTTACTTGAATCATTCTTGGTGGGGGAGGAGGCTGTACTTGTACTACACTTTTTAGTAGTTTTATTATGAAGTATCACCATTAGTGCTCGAGTAAAATATCTGCATGAACAACAAACGTGTTTTAAATACCATATCAAAAGGTAAATTAAAATATAATCACAGAACGAGTCAAAAACCACAGAAAAAGAATTCAACATGATTTTCTTTCTACTGCCAGAGATGCTGAAAGCAGAGATTTATGTAAAGATACAATATGTGGTATTTATGGTAAACGTTGCAATAATGATACAATTTACATTACATAATTTTAATGTTTTTCTGCTTTGGATTCATAGCAAAAACAGTCACCAGGTAATGAGAAATTTATCAACTGGAAAAAAAATATATTTAAAAAAATAAATTTCATCAAGGTTTTGTTTGAAGAAATTGTTTTAATTACTTTTAATGATGTTTGTCATTCCAGACGTAGAAAGAAAGTCTGATGGCAGCATGAGCTGTTTGAGACATGTTAATCCTACCTTAGTGTAAATTAATATTTTCACTAAGGTTGGCTGATTTTAGTCATGTAAACACTGGAAAGGTTGGACTTAAACATTTTGTTTACAAACTCTCAGTTGATCCCGTTGTGTAATTTGAATTTGTATGTATAGAAAGAAGGTTTGCTTTCCAAAAACATTGATAAATTACAAAAGTCAGCAGTTGTGTATACCTTCAGCTGCTTCTCCTCTTTGATCCTCTGCTCCTTGGCGTTGGGGACCAAGATGAAGATTGGCCCAGACTTATCCTCATCATCCTTCAGGCCTTTAGTGGCGGGTTTCTTACCAGCTGGACCCTGATTGACGCAAACAGACAGACGCAGTGAGCGAACAGAAGCCAGACGTTTTCTAAAACAAAGTTTTAGTGAGAACTGGACAGAAAGGTGAGGGAAAGAAGAAACCAGAGCTACCAGGAGGGTTACGATGGAGAGATTTCCGTGCAGGTTAACAGACAGACATTAATGCTAGAAAGCCGTCACACGAGGTGTGTCGTTTCCACAGCCGAGTGGACGCCCTGAGGCTGCGTTAGCGACTGAAGTTAGACTGAGAGAAGCCAGGCGGAGGTTAACATCTGCCAAGCCGACAGCATTCAGGAAAGAGTGGGATCATCCGGAACCCTGCGTTCATCTACCTGTTGGCCGCCAGCAGCAGCAGCAGCCTTCCCTTTGACGGGCGGCTTTTTGCTACCATTACACTCCTTCTGATTGGAGGGAGGCGGAGCTTCCTCCGTGGGAGAGGGAGGCTGGGTGGGCGAAAATAAATGAACATCACAAAACGAACCACATGAGGGGAGGAGGGCAAAAAAAAAAAAGACTAAATATTAAAAACTTAAAGACTAATTAATGGAAAGGACTGAAGAGAATCTGTTCTCTCATCAAATAAATAAATGAGGAAAAAAGTTTAATTGGATGAATTACTTGAAAAAGTAATTTATCTAAACTGGAATTAATTAATCCGTCACTGAAATAATCGTCAATTAATTTAGTAATCGATTAATCATTAACAGGAGAATACGGACTCAAGAAAACGGCCAGTTTGTTGAAATATTCAGCAGTAATTAAGCTAAAACTGTACAAAAATATATACATTTGGGATAGGAGATGGAAAATCTTGAGTTCAGGGTAGAGAATATAAACAGATTAAAGCTTCACTCGGTTCATATTTTGTATATAAAAAAACAAACTCTCCTCCAATTAAGTGCCTTTTTCTAATTATAAGTTAATGGGGACAGAAAAACCCTACGATGAACTGATGATGCTAAGCAGGAGTCAAACTTTTCACTTGTTGATATCTTAAGTATTTTCAGCTGCATCCTTTGCTACAAATGATCAAACATCCACTAAAAAAAATTTGCTGTTATTGCATTTTAGGCAACAAAATATTCATTTTCTTATCCAAAACAATTAATCAATTTGTTTATTTTAATGTATTTGTAACAAAGAAAATAAGCTTATGTGGTTCATTGAAAAATCTGCAGAATGGGGAAGTTTTTTCAAATATCATTAATCAATTACTAAAATAATAACGAGCTGCAGCCCTGATCCAAACGGACGTACCTTCTTGGCAGCTCCTCCTCCTCTGACTTTCTTAGCTTCAGGTTTATCTGTGAAATCCTCGCCGGTCCTGGAAGCTGCACACAACAAGCAAACATCTGAATTATCAACATCTTGTTTAAGTTTGGTTTGTCCCAAATTATCCTCAACTGTTTGTGAGCTCACCTGAAGGAGCTCTGCTTTGCTCTGCAGAACCTTTTCCTCCCGTTTTGGCCGGCGCCGCAGGTTTAGCCGGCATCACTGCTCTGGCCTTTTCCAACATGGCTACCACCTGATCCTTGGAGGCAGGCTGGGGAGAAATAAACAAACCCAGTTGGAACCACCAGTCCCAACCAAACACCGGGACCACCTCGCTGGCGGCTCTGTACTTTGAGTTTTCCTGTGGCTTTGTTAATCTTGTCGTAGCCCAGGTGCATCATGAAGGTGGGCAGGGCGTCCTGGGCTTTCTTCCTCACGTCGGCGTTCCGGTCCTCCAGGCAGGCGAACAGCTGCGGGACGCAAAGCATCAGGTCTGCGGGGACCGACCTGAGAGTCGGCAGCTTCTCTGCTAGCCAGCCAAGCACCTGAGGATGAAGAGCGGGTTAGAGTCTGATCTTCGTCACCCCCACCGTGAGGAGGAGCATCGGAGGAGTCGGAGCACCTCCTGACGCAGGAAGGGATTCTCCCTCTTCAGCTCCTCGGACAGATCCTCTCCCTCCAGCCAGTCCTTCATCCCAGTCTGCTCCACCCAGGCCTGCAGCGTTGCCATGGCAGCCGTCCTCAGGTTCACCTGCAGATGGACAGACGTAACTCAGACCAACCGTAACTGCTGAAGGGACCTGAGGCTTTCTGTCATGGAGATTCTGTTTGAACTATTGGAGGTGGAGCACCTTGCTGTCTCCCAGAACAGTGATGACAGGGAACCCCAGAGCTTTCACATGCTGCTTGAGTCCAGGTCCCATGGCTGTAGCCAGCTGCTGCAGAATACTCAGGGTCTGTTGGACCTGCAGACCACAAACAGGACGGTCATCACTGCAGTCATAACGTTTAACACAGAGGCCAAACCCAGAGCAGTCCAGCTCACCAGGATCTTGTTGGAGTCGCAGAGTCGCCCTTTCAGCGCCAGAGGAAGCTCCCCGATGTTGGGCGTGATGAACTTGGCCTCAGAGATGACGGCCGCAGCCTCATCCAGACCCTCCTTCCTGATCTTCCAGTTCTTGTCTTCAATTTTAGACACCAGGTCGGATGTGATCTTGTCACTTTGAAAATGAATTGGAACAAAGAAAAAAACAAAAGAAGAAGAAACGGGCCTTTAGCCAAAGTGATGAAGCCAGCTGCTCCTGAAAATAATCCTGTAGATCTCAAACAATAAAACTGGTTCCTGACTGTGAAGAGACTGAAGTGTTGTTCACACATTGATAATATTCATGCACTTTTCTGGGAAAAAAAGACGACAAGGACAGACTTTAATACCATTTGTAGAGATGGTTCTACCATCATTAAAATACTATTTTGACCTTGGTCATTTTT